AAGTTTTTTAAAACGTGTTTTGTCCCGACTCTCAAGAATCAGTGAGCTATATTAATATCAGTCATACTGGCCTTCATTAATAAAAAGATGCCATAAATGGTTCCATTTGAAAATAAGTCAGTCTGTGCTTTTCACTTTAAGCCCTGAATCAGGCTTCAGTATTCGAGAAAGGAGGGGATACCCCATAGTGTTAGCACACAATGTCCTGTTTCCTCTTCTCAGGAAAACAAGGTTACAAGAGAAACCAGAGACATTTTTTTTGACAATGAGCGGGTCCCCACATGTTGAGATCACATGACCAGACATACTAATGCTGCCTTCAGTGGGACCTGAGAACATCCTACTTCCAAGTAGGGCATTCGTGATTGCGTCACTCATTAAATTAAGAAAAATAATACAGCAGTAGCCTAAATAAAACAATTATTTTGTGTAACATTAAACCCAGTATCCATTTCTTAATTGAATACAATGAAAACCATTCATTTCTATCACTTAATAATGCAACAGTATCTAACAAAAAATTTATTTTTCATAAAGCGAACCATAAAATGTGAGTGATCAACTTTACATTTGTTGATTATAAGTAACTTTTTATCTTCTAATCATCAAAAGCGTTTGGTGTATCAGAAAGTACCAACATTTAAAGGAAATACGATTGAAAAACATAGCCTATCATGAAAAGACCAGGTGTAAATGCCTTCTGAAATGCATTTGAGATAGATTTAAATCCAATCACTTAAACCACTACAGGAGGTGGTTTGAGACGCATTGTAAATGCATCTGGTTGTTGAAGCAACCTATGTAAATTTGACTCCTCCCAAATATTGTAAAAAAATAAACACGAGCGTGTTATACAAGCTCTCGGTAGCCAGATATGACAGCATTGCCGCACACTAAACCTGGATAAGTTGAATTTACTAAAACAATGGAGGTAGATAACTTTACTTGATTACTTGAGTGAATTAAACTTTAAAATTCCAGCCCTTTCAACATCAGTGGCCTGTTGCGCAAGGCCAGTTTCAGTTTCTACCAAGGTAAGTTCAAGATGAGCTTGAACAAATTGTTTTTTTGGGGCTCAAGAAGGTGGATTGGTTTTTAGCGGGTTTCATTGCTATGGTAACTTGCGTTTTACAGCTCCAATACAACTTTATTCTGTATTGGAGATCGCAGACCAAAACTTGTCCAATCATCTGTGAGTAAAGATGCAATTAAGCCTCTCCCCCTGTATTTCTTACTCCAAATTAAAGTAGTTTCAGTGAATCAAACAATACGCTCTGCTCTCCATGTTCCGTTTATGTGGCTGTTTGCTGCATGTGACACACTTTCAGGTGCATGCCCTTTAGAGTTAATCTCAAACCCTGGATTAAACCTGAGTTGACAGAGAACTAGCGTTGTGAGCCTGTTGAGTCTGATCTAAACCAGGTTGGATTTGTCAACTGCAAACCTTCTCTGGAACTCAGTTTGTTCAACTACTTTCATGCAACAGGCCTCAGGAATCGCATGCAGTGATGTACAAACATTTCTGATGCAAACAGGGAAATGGTTCTGTTCTTGTATAACTTCCATGTTTGAGACTAATGTTTTAATAGCTGTGCTTACTACTCTCTTTTCACAGTTATTAGGGCAATACTTAAACTGCCAAATAATCTCTTCCTGTGATCTGCACAAAACAAGATAGTATATAATTAGAAAGCTATTAACCTATATAAAACAGGAGTACATCCATCTGTTTTTGTATTAAAACTGTTGATTAACTTAAAGGTAGAGTAGGCAATTTTCGGAGAGGCTAGCAATAGCAAGCTAGCTTTGAAAGCGTAAGATCCCTCCATCCCTTCAGAGCATCTCCAAAGCCACGCCTCCTTCAAAACACATGATCGCAAAACATTTATTTTGATATATAGATATTTATTTTTTTGTTCTTGTTTTATCTTTTCTTGTTCATTTTCCTGTTTAATTGGTGTCTAAGTATCACTGAATTTGTTACTCACCTATGTCTATTTTAGTTTATTATCCTGTGAACTAAACTGAACTTATCCTGTGTTTATATACTTTGTTTCCTCAGTTATCTGCCGGTTGTTTGGTTATTCAAAGCTATCACGTTTGTTTCTCCTTGGATCATCATCTTGTTTTGTTGAGTACAAATAAAGGCTGCTGAACATAGTCTTGTCTGCAAGACGTTACTGAACAACCGACCAAGAACAATTAAAAATGTGTTTACCAGCAGCAGTCTGTCCTACTGAGGAGACGTTAAACCGAGGTCCTGACTCTCTGTGGTCATTAAAAAATCCCAGGATGTCCTTCGAAAGAAAGTAGGGGTGTAAGCCTGGCATCCTGGCCAAATTTGCCCCTTGGCCTCTGTCCATCATGGCCTCCGAATCATCCCCATATACTGATTGGCTTCATCACTTTCTCCTCTCCACCAGTAAGCTGGCGTGTGGTGGGCGTTCTGGCGCAATATGGCTGCCGTCGCATCATCCAGGAGGATGATGCACATTAGTGGTGGTTGAGGAGATTCCCCCTTCCATGTAAAGCGCTTTGAGTACCCAGAAAAGCGCTATATAAATGTAACAAATTATTATATTATTATAGCAGTCTATCTAATCCTCCTCGCTAAGGAAGATCACTCCCTCAAGGATCACATCAGCGTATTCCTTAGTGTAGCCAACCACGTACATTTCCCAGATAATTTCCTGGTTGCCTTTTTAATTTTGGACCGAAGGAACCGCTGAAATCTGTTTTATTAAAAACCTTTGAGGGGATGCTGGCCCAATTTTTAGAACTGGCCTAGAAAGCAGTTGGATCTTCTTGGACCCAGAGCCAATACCTCTACCTGCCACGTATCCAGAGACAGTGCCAATGCCTCAGGGCTAGAACCTGCCACCATGTCCATCCCGCTGGTTCCGTCCAGTCAACTGGCTTCGCCTCTTCTGTTGGTTCTATCCAGTTACTTGTCTCCAGTGGTTCCGTCCAGTTCCCTGGCTCCTCCACATCCTTCCGATCTGTCATCCTTTCAGCTCCACTGACATAAGCATGGTCCTTAGTTTCCTCAGTTCTCTGTTAGTTTTTGTCTTTGTTTGGTTCTACAAAGCTGTCACGTTTGTGTTTGTCCTTGAATCCTCTTTTTGATTTCGGTTAAAATGGAGATTGCTGCATCTTAGATAAACATCTCAACCCTGCAAAACGTTACAAGGACCTGAACCATGCTAATGCTTGTCCACAAATGGCAATATACATCATCATACATCACAGCGAATGTTGTGGTCTGTTGTCAAAAGATCTAATAGCACTAGCAAAGAGATTAGATTAAATGCCAAAAGACGGTAAATCGTAACTTTTATATGGTGCTTAACTTGACTAACTAACTATTGAGAAGTGGTTCTGAGAGTATGTGTGTGTGTATATATATATATATATATATATATATATATACACTCACCGGCCACTTTATTTGTCGGCTGCACATCCATGATGCGAATCTCCCGTTCCACCACATCCCAAAGATGTTCTATTGGGTTGAGATCTGGTGACTGTGGAGGCCATTTTAGTACAGTGAACTCATTGTCATGTTCAAGAAACCAATTTGAAATGATTAGAGCTTTGTGACATGGTGGAAGTAGCCATCAGAGGATGGGTACATGTTGGCCATAAAGGGATGGACATGGTCAGAAACAATGCTTAGGTAGGCCGTGGCATTTAAACGATGCCCAATTGGCACTAAGGGGCCTAAAGTGTGCCAGGAAAACATCCCCCACACCATTACACCACCACCACCAGCCTGCACAGTGGTAACAAGGCATGATGGTTCCATGTTCTCATTCTGTTTACGCCAAATTCTGACTCTAACATCTGAATGTCTCAACAGAAATCGAGACTCATCAGACCAGGCAACATTTTTCCAGTCTTCAACTGTTCAATTTTGGTGAGCTCTTGCAAATTGTAGCCTCTTTTTCCTATTTGTAGTGGAGATGAGTGGTACCCGGTGGAGTCTTCTGCTGTTGTAGCCCATCCGCCTCAAGGTTGTGCGTGTTGTGGCTTCACAAATGCTTTGCTGCATACCTCGGTTGTAACGAGTGGTTATTTCAGTCACTGTTGCCCTTCTATCAGCTCGAACCAGTCTGGCCATTCTCCTCTGACCTCTGGCATCAACAAGGCATTTCCGCCCACAGAACTGCCGCTCACTGGATGTTTTTTCTTTTTCGGACCATTCTCTGTAAACCCTAGAGATGGTTGTGCGTGAAAATCCCAGTAGATTAGCAGTTTCTGAAATACTCAGACCAGCCCTTCTGGCACCAACAATCATGCCACGTTCAAAGTCACTCAAATCAACTTTCTTCCCCATACTGATGCTCGGTTTGAACTGCAGGAGATTGTCTTGACCATGTCTACATGCCTAAATGCACTGAGTTGCCGCCATGTGATTGGCTGCTTAGAAATTAAGTGTTAACGAGCAGTTGGACAGGTGTACCTAATAAAGTGGCCGGTGAGTGTATATATATATATATATATATATAAACGCAACACTGAAAAAGAAAAGGTTGTTGATTGTGGCCTGTGGAATGTTGGTCCAATCCTCTTCCGGACCCCTTCACATTCCGGAGAAACTGCACATTTTAGAGTGGCCTTTTATTGTGGCCAGCCTAAGGCACACCTGTGCAATAATCATGCTGTCTAATCAGCATCTTGATATGCCACACCTGTGAGGTGGATAGATTATCTCGGCAAAGGAGAAGTGCTCACTAACACAGGTAAGACAGATTTGTGAACAATATTTGACAGAAATATTTTGGCCTTTTGTGTACATAGAAAAAAAATCTTAGATCTTTGAGTTCAGCTCATGAAAAATGGGGGCAAAAACAAAAGTGTTGCGTTTATAATTTTGTTCAGTGTATATTGTTGTTAGATATATGTTGTTGTTTTTGATACTTTACATGTCTAAATGTTGAGATGTTTGTCGCTTTTTGCCATTAAACTGTTTTTTGTTGTTGTTTTTTTTACCTTAGACCTGATGGCACTGGAAGAAGAGAGTCAAGAACTGAATGAAAAGGAAGAGAAAATTCAGAATGAGAAACATCATGATTTCATAACTGGAGAAAAATCTTTTAGTTGCTCACAAACTAAAAAGACTTCACAAAAAGGAGCTCAAAAGACAGGAGCTAGAAGTAATTTCACCTGCAAACAATGTGGAAAGAGTTTCACTCAAAATGAAAGCCTTAAAAGTCACATGAGAGTTCACACAGGAGAGAAGCCTTTCTCCTGCCAACAGTGTGGGAAAAGTTTCACTCAAAAAGGAAACCTGAAATTCCATATGAAAATTCACTCTAGAGAGAGTCAATACACCTGCCAACACTGTGGGAAAAGTTACACTCAAAAAGGAAGCCTTAAAGTCCACATGAGAATTCACACTGGAGAGTACCCTTTCACCTGCCAACAATGTGGGAAAAGTTTCACTCAAAAAGGAAGCCTTAAAAGCCACATGAGAAGTCACACTGGAGAGAGGCCTTTCACATGCCCTCAATGTGGAAAGGGTTTTAAACATAAACCAACCCTTACTGCCCACATGAGAATTCACACTGGAGAAAAGCCTTTCACCTGCACTCAGTGTGGTAAGAGTTTTACACACAAACCAACCCTTAGTGCCCACATGAGAATTCACACTGGAGAGAAGCCGTTTGTATGCAGTCAGTGTGGAAAAAGTTTCAGATTTACAGTAATTCTCAATGAGCACATGAGGATTCACTCAAGAGAGAACTGTTTTAAATGTCATCGGTGTGGAAGGAGTTTCACAGACAGGAAACATCTTATTAATCATGTAAAAATTCACATCGGCGAGAAGCCTTTCATGTGCGATCTCTGTGGAAGGAGTTTCACACTTAAAGGAAACCTTAAGATTCACATGAGAGTTCACACTGGAGAGAAGCCTTACACCTGCCCTCACTGTGGAAAGAGTTTTACGATTAAAGGAAACCTTGAGGTTCACATGAGAGTTCACACTGGAGAGAAGCCTTACAAGTGTCAGCGGTGTGCAAAGAGTTTCACATATCAAAGAGACTTGAAATGTCATTTACAAACTTATTCTGGAAAGAAATTGCAATGTTCTGAGTATGACAAGAGGTTAACAAAAAGGAGCAATTTAAGAAATCACCTGCACATTCACTCTGGAGGAAGGCGATTTAATTGTGATCAGTGTAAAAAAACATTTCTTTTGCCATTACATTTAAAGATACATATGAAAAGTCATGCAGATGTGAGACCCTATTCATGTTTTTATTGTGGAAAGCGTTTTAAATGGCTCAGCAATTTAAAATGGCACCAGAAAATATGTATCTGTGTAAAATCGAAGCTACGTTCACGTCCTATAATTTCTATTGTATAGAAGTTGTCACTCATATATTTGATTCAGTATAATACTTTGATATCAGTGTATTGAATAAATACATCTGCATGGCTTTCTGATAGTATTCAGGCCCATTTCCTTATGCTAAAATGCATTAAAAAAAATTCTCTCATTTTTTAACCATTACCATTCAAACCCCATTGACAAGTATTCAGACCCTTAACTTTGTTGAAGCACCTTTCTGCAGCCATTACAGCCTCAAGTCTTTTTTTGTGTATGATTTATAAAGTTTTACACAGCTGGATTTACGGATTATCTGCCATCTTTAGATCCTATTGAGATCTGTCAGTTTGGATGTGGACTTTCAGTGAACAGCCATTTTCAGGTTTATCCACAGATGTTCCATTGGGTTCAAGTCTGGGATTTGGCTGGGTCATTTAAGGACATTCACAAAGTCGTCCCTAAAGGCCCTAACATACTTACTGCAACGTTTTTTTTTTCCATTCTTTATTTTGGGGTAAAAGAAGTCCGAAATATGTGACCAACGGTATACTGTTAGGAAACATTCCGACGCCATCCACACTGCTGTGAGCCGAGTTTAGATTAATATGTAATGTATGTTTGGAGGAAATCAGGATGTTCAATCTGAGTATTGGGTCATAAAATCTCCTCTTTTCACATTAAATCACCAGTCCAGCTCCATCATTCTACTGGATCAGTGGTTCTCAAACCTGTCCTGGAGTACCCCCAACACTGCACGTTTTCTTTGTCTCCCTAATGTTTGATTAGGGAGACAAAGAAAACGTGCAGTGTTGGGGGTACTCCAGGACAGGTTTGAGAACCACTGCACTAGATAATGGTCCCTAAAAGCCCCGTTGTCACATTAGTTGCCTTTGCAGATGCTAAACAGACACATCTCTAAAGCCTGGTTCACACGGGATGATTTTAAAATTGATTTTCCAAACCTGAGAGACCCCACACACGGCGATAAAAAATCACGGGTCTAACAGTTTTGGTCGTACAGTGTGTGGTGCGCAGCCACACGGCAAAATCAACATCACACAAGAACCGATTTGACTCCCGAGCATTCCCAGGTCAGACGGAAAATCTCGCAAAATCCCTCGAGATAAACAATCATGGCGGACGAAGAGGATGCAGTGGCGATAGTTTGTAGTTTGTTTTTAACCCAAAAAAATAACTTTATCAAAAGAAAGGGCGATGGTCAAAGAATCTCCGACGTCCACCGGACTTTCTGGTGCGCCATGCTGCCGGCTGTTTTGATTTTGTTTCCCGGTGCTTCGTCACCTCACTTTCTGATTGGCTACACGCCACAGTCCACAGGCTGCGTGCTCACTTGTCCCCCGTGGACACCACACACGAGGAGAAATCGGGCCAAAAAATCCAACATGTTGGATATCCGATTTGAGATCTAAGCGGTCCCGACGTCCTTCCGAGCAGACGAGAGCAGTCTTAACACACCACACACGGCAGGAATATCTGATCAGATTATTTTACGATAATCGGAGCATCCTTAAGATTGTCGGAAGGGGTGAATCGGGGCTAAAATCGGCCTAATTATCCTGCCGTGTGAACCAGGCTTAAGTCTTTCCTGTGACTTCAAAGACTTCACCAGACACAAATAGGCACAGACATGTCCCTGCATTTAACTCATAATCAAACTATCCCAAAATGTATATGATGTATTCCTGTGTTGTATGTTTGTCCCTATATTATATTAACCTAGTTATGATTCTTTAGTTATGTTAGGGTAACTTCAAATACTGAGATCCAGGTTAAAGTATGTATGACTGTTTTAAATGTTTGCATACCCTTACTGTTTGGCATTGAAATGATCCTCTCTTTATGCCTTAATTAATAGGGCAGAGTACATTACTGTAAAATGCATTATACACATTTTTTTTTACTATACTTTGGTGTAAAACTACAAATTCCTTGACCACCAATAAACATGCAAATGTGCTGCGAAGGGAGACAAAGAAAATGTCTCCCATTCAAAAGTTCCTACCTCCGATTGGCCATTGTATCAAAACTGATGATTGTGAACCGATTTGGCAGGCCCCTCTGTTTGGTATTGAAATGATCCTCTCTTTATGCCTTAATTAATGGGGTAGAGTACATTACTGTAAAATGCATTATACTCTTCTTTTCTTTCTTTTTTTTTACTAAACTTTGGTGTAAAACTTGACAAATTCCTTGAGCACCATTTAACATGCAAATATGCTTCGAAGGGAGACAAAGAAAATGTCCGGCAAACTTACCTTTTAGATTAACTTCTTTCACACTTCCTGTGGACAACCGATCTCCGGAAGAATCACTTCAGCTCACGAACTCACCAAGAATCTCTGTATTCTACATGCATCCAGGACTCTTTTTCAGCACCAAACCAATGCAAGTAACTGTTCTTATCGATCTTTAGATGCATTTTAAGCTTTGGCGATTTGATTCTCTGATGGTTCTCGCAGGTTAACTGTTTGTAATTCTTGCCATTCTTTGCTCTTCTCTCTTTCTTTCTTTACTTTTCGTTATTATGTGCATATATATTCTTTGCTCAAGTTTAGTTCTATGTATCCGTAGTTTCATTTATTAAAAACATTACATCCACGCTCGATTGTCTGTGTTTGCAGCTTATACATCAAAGTCACTTTAATGTTTGATCTTGCTACATACTTTCCTACTGTTAGTACTATATAGAACAGGAAAGGTTATTCTTGGCCAGAAGAATAATCTTCCTTAAGAGTTGATAGAAGATTATACTGTCAGTTCGGTGGGCGAACAGAGCAGTCGATTTAAAAGTAATTGTTATAATTCATTCTGAAAGTTGATCTAGCCTATATATGTTTATAATTAATTATAATCCATTGAAGTTAATATACACTCACCTAAAGGATTATTAGGAACACCTGTTCAATTTCTCATTAATGCAATTATCTAATCAACCAATCACATGGCAGTTGCTTCAATGCATTTAGGGGTGTGGTCCTGGTCAAGACAATCTCCTGAACTCCAAACTTAATGTCAGAATGGGAAAGAAAGGTGATTTAAGCAATTTTGAGCGTGGCATGGTTGTTGGTGCCAGACGGGCCGGTCTGAGTATTTCACAATCTGCTCAGTTACTGGGATTTTCACGCGCAACCATTTCTAGGGTTTACAAAGAATGGTGTGAAAAGGGAAAAACATCCAGTATGCGGCAGTCCTGTGGGCGAAAATGCCTTGTTGATGCTAGAGGTCAGAGGAGAATGGGCAGACTGATGAGGCTAGAAAAAGAGGCTACAATTTGCAAAAGAGGCTACAATTTGCAAGAGCTCACCAAAATTGGACAGTTGAAGACTGGAAAAATGTTGCCTGGTCTGATGAGTCTCGATTTCTGTTGAGACATTCAGATGGTAGAGTCAGAATTTGGAGTACACAGAATGAGAACATGGATCCATCATGCCTTGTTACCACTGTGCAGGCTGGTGGTGGTGGTGTAATGGTGTGGGGGATGTTTTCTTGGCACACTTTAGGCCCCTTAGTGCCAATTGGGCATCGTTTAAATGCCACTGCCTACCTGAGCATTGTTTCTGACCATGTCCATCCCTTTATGGCCACCATGTACCCATCCTCTGATGGCTACTTCCAGCAGGATAATGCACCATGTCACAAAGCTTGAATCATTTCAAATTGGTTTCTTGAACATGACAATGAGTTCACTGTACTAAAATGGCCCCCACAGTCACCAGATCTCAACCCAATAGAGCATCTTTGGGATGTGGTGGAACGGGAGCTTCGTGCCCTGGATGTGCATCCCACAAATCTCCATCAACTGCAAGATGCTATCCTATCAATATGGGCCAACATTTCTAAAGAATGCTTTCAGCACCTTGTTGAATCAATGCCACGTAGAATTAAGGCCGTTCTGAAGGCGAAAGGGGGTCAAACACAGTATTAGTATGGTGTTCCTAATAATCCTTTAGGTGAGTGTACATACTGTACATACACTATATTGCCAAAAGTATTGGGACACCCCTCCAAATCATTGAATTCCAGTGTTCCAATCACTTCCATGGCCACAGTTGTATAAAATCAAGTACTTAGCCATGCAGACTGCTTCTACAAACATTTGCGAAAGAATGGGTCGCTCTCAGGAGCTTGGTGAATTTGAGCATAGTACCATGATAGGTTGCCACCTGTGCAATAAGTCCATTCCTCAACTGTTAGTGGTATTATAACAAAGTGGAAGCAATTGGGAAAAACAGTAACTCAGCCATGAAGTGGTAGGCCACGCAAAATCACAGAGTGGGGTCAGCGCATGCTGAGGCGCACATTGCGCAGAAGTTGCCAACTTTCTGCAGAGTCAATAGCTACAGACCTCCAAACTTTGTGTGGCCTTCAGATTACCTCAAGAACAGTGCATAGAGAGCTTCATGTAATGGGTTTCCATGGCCGAGCAGCTGCATCCAAGCCTTACATCACCAAGTGCAATTCAAAGCGTCGGATTCAGTGTTGTAAAGGACGCCGCCACTGGACTCTAGAGGAGTGGATACGTGATCTCTGGAGTGACGAATCACGCTTTCCTGTCTGGCAATCCAATGGAGGAGTCTGAGTTTGGGGGTTGCCAGGAAAACGGTACTTGCCTGACTGCACGGTGCCAAATGTAAAGTTTGGTGGAGGGGGGATTATGGCGTGGGGTTGTTTATCAGGGGTTCGGCTTGGCCCCTTAGT